TGGTTGAAAATACCAGAGTAGTAGCATATCTCAAGAATTCCAGAATGACCCTAGAGGTGAGATGTCTTATATGTTCCATATTCTCTGAGCATTCAGTTTCAAATAATGGGATTTGATTTATACCAGAATTTATTGCTCAACATGGCAAATAAAACCAGTGAGTCTATATTTTGAACATGTGTTTAAACATAYGTTTTTAAACATGTGTAATGCTTTAAGAAGTATGCAATGATGATGACCATCATGAAATGATCATATACAGAAAAATCTCATGATATGTTCATGAGGTTTTCTTGATTGTCTTAATGACCAGCCATAATGAAGAAGCTACTATGAYAATGCATTACCAAAAAGGAGAAAATCAAATACTGAATGACTTATCAAAGGCTAATCAATTCCTTCAGCTTCACTGAGTGATACAGACATCATTGAAAATAAAAAATATGGGCTCATATAATTGAAAATGGTTTCCTTACCCTTGTATTCCAAGTGAAATCRTACCAAAATATTTCTTTATTTCTTTTAATTCTTAAGAAATGTTTAAAGTTGAATTATGTGTACAGATTTTTTTGTATATTTATATATATGTTAGCTTAAATTTTAGCACACTGYAAACTGTATTTATGAATCTCCCTTTCAAATCTTCACTTAAAGTCTTCATTTAATAGGAAAAGGCTTTCAAACTTGGCAGCAGAAGTTCCCAATTCCTTCYTATTGGTGATACTGTCAGAGATAAGGATATGAACTCTTGTTTTGGGCTTCTCTTGCCTCTGAGCAAATGTGCACACACAGGGGAATTCAGATAATGCAACCCCTGTTCCCACCAAATCCAAAACCTAAAAAAAAAATACAAGAGCTGACGCAATGACTACAAGGACAGTGAGGAAGAAACCAGAATACCTCAAGGGTTCTTGCTGAGCAAACACTGGCAGGCTGCCATGAGAAATGTCAGCAAAGGAAACTCTTTTCAAAAATTCAAAAATTTACCTTCAACTTAAATTTTATACTTCCAATTAAATTCTACAGTTTTATGACAGGTTTTTCTCTGAAGATTATACACAAAAAAAGAAAAAAGAAAAAATAGAAAATTCAGGTAAATGTCCGCTTAAAGAATTGTTTTTCTAGTCATACAATTATTTTCCTAGTCACACAAGGAAATAGAAACAGGAAGGAGAAGTTGTGGGCCTTTGAATATGGTTACTTGAAGATCTCATACACCTTTGAGACTTTGTCTCAAAAGGTAAGAGCAAACTTCTAAAACAGGAAAAAGCTAAACTGATGCAAGGGATGCTTTCTTTATTGTAGGCAGTCATACTATGATAGCTGGCTGGCATCCACAGCAAAAAAACATCTTCTTTCATCACTCTTGCTTAGAAATTGTTCCAGATGAGGAGGCTGGACAATAATTTTTTACCARCCAGGAGAGCCAGCAGAAATTAAGCAAAACCATCCAGACATTATAAAATTTTCTCATCAGAGAGAAACACTTTTTTTTTTAATTTTAATGAGAAGTACATTGATTTCTATAAGAATACATGACTTTGCCCTTCAGTTTTAACTCATCATTAATGAAAGTATTGATCAGTACCATCAAATGGTATAAAAGAGGTATGAGATTGCACGCAAGAGGGAGCAAATCTAGAAAAATGAAGGACRATACCAGTCCTGGCTTTCTTCTGGTAACTACATGATTACCTTAATACTGTAAGGCCAGTGGTAAAGGAAGAAAAGGGAACTGCATTACAGAGTAGAAATATAAGTTAGGCTCATTATTATGTTGAAGTTAATATCTCAATGCTATCTGAACTTTTCTTTTTTTTTTTAATATTACTTAGGCTGCAGATTGGTGCAGCACTAGCCAATGGTGGTCATATTCTCTTCACATAAAAGGCTTTCTATTTCCTTTCTATTTCCTTTCCTTTCTATTTCCTTTCTATTTCCTTTCAAGTCCACTGTGACACTTTTATTATGCTTTCAAAGATAAAAAATCCATCCTATTTATTTTTCTTTAATCACATTCAGTCTTGTTCAGAAAGGCAGTATGGAAAACACAGGTTGGTTTCATTAATGCTTGCTGAAGTTAAATTTCTCAGGCTCTCCTCCATTTAACCTATGTTATATTTCTTARTAGGACTTCCAAAAGTAAAATTTGAGTATGTCTTTGAAATAAAAAGTTCCTATAGAAGAAATAGCTTTCAGGCAGAGGCTTTTAGGACAAGTTCTTGCACTRTGAAGGCTGAAAGCAACCAATGTGCAAGGTATATGGGAGGCAGCTGGAGCAGGATGAGTATATTATGCTTTGTGGATTTAAGAGACAGCATGTCATCTTCATGACATCCTTATTTCCTTTGCCATCAGGTTATCTGCAAAAGCTCTGTCTTGCAATTAAACACTGTTGTGTTGCATATCAAACAATAACGTTTTCTGGATGAACCTACATAAGTTTAAAAGAGACTTTAAGCCAGTGCTTTAATTGACCAATTAAATCTTAAGCCTAAGCAAGGCTAGTGTATTATCCTGAGGTCAGCCRTGGCACTGATATTTTTCAGGGCAGCATATACTGGACTCACATTGTGAATGCCTGGGAATGTCCCCACAAAACCTCTATCACTCTAAAGAAGAAAAAACACAGAGGGTTCATTGTGACCTTTCTCAGAGTAATCCTACTTTACTACTGGAAGAGATGGTTGAACCAAACTCCAAATGTACTTAGATGCAAGGATTACTTTAATTAGTAATCTACTAAAATCTCTGAGGAAAATTTATGAGCAGTAGGGTATACACTGATAGAAAGGTACATTAGCTAGAGTTATAGACAGATCTCTTCTTTGTGACTAAAGATGTCCAGTTTGTGACCGTCATCACCAGTTCCTCCAGACCAGAAAATAATGAGATAGCTTATCTGAGTTCTGTATCAACAGCATATCAATATAAAAYCCCAGTTTAAAATGCAGTCATTTTAGTGAGAGAAGTGTTTAAATTCTGACCATATTAAATTGCTATAGGCTACAGCACACCATGGGAGTATGATACTCTATTTCCTAATGTACTTGTAATCAGAATGTGATACCTTCCCAAATTCCAAAAGCTGCAGTTAGCAGGACTCTGAATGAGCTAGCAAAGCATACAATAATAATAATAATAATTTATCATTAATAATAATAACAGTATTTTCCTTCTATCATTTCAGAGTACTGAGATTCATTAATTGTTTCTTTKTCTGTATTCAGTTCTGAGGACTTCACTTCCAGAGTCTGGAAAATAAAGAGGAAACATCTYCTAACATTTTAATGAGGTCAGAAGAAAGGTCCAGTTGTTTTCCCCTGAGAGTGGCCTTAGGGATATGCTACTGATTCCAGCCTGTCAGGCTGTAATCCCTTTTCTTGCCATATGACTAGAAGACTGCATACGCTGTGAAAATAATCTTGCTTAATTTTCAGATGGCCTCGCAATATTTATTATTAGCAACAGATTCATCTGCCACAGAAAAAAAGTGTGTACCTAACAGTACGTAGCCAGTGGGGAAAGAGTATCATTTCCATAAAWAAGATGCAGGCAGAAAGAGGGCTCTTCATGTGACTGGGCACTGCCTTCTTAGACTAAATGTAACTCTTTTTTAGGGTAGGGAGACAATTTAGTAGATAAATGCTCTGTAAAGGTTAAATATATCAACTATGTGTAACACAAGGCTTATTTCTTTTCACTCTTTAGCATGACTATTATCCAGATCTTTGGCAGTCTGGTAGAAAATATACCCTTTCTAACTATGAATGGAAGATATTACAAAGCAGAATCCAGAATGCACCACAAYGCAAAGACATGCGAGTCAGCATCCTGGTGACCTACTTTTCTATAGCAATTCCATTTTTGAAGGTATGTCACTATATTTTGGGGGAGAACTGCACAATGAGGTGTCAGCAAACATGCTGTTTATCATTAAAGATATTGCTTGAYGACTGCAAGTACTTGTCTGTATGACTGACATTCTTAGTCATCGAGCTCCCACAGTGATGCGCAGTATCAGTTTCCAAAAGGAACAAATATTATGTTTCTACAACAGTTACATGTAGAACTGAGCAAGCTGTCTATTTACTTAAGATGGGAGTAAAGGTACCATTTCTTGCATTTTAAAACTGTAAAAACTGGAAACATTTATTTCAGGTGCTTTATTTRCCTCATTTCTATTTTTTTTAACAGTTTCTGTATTTCTTGAATTTTAATTTGGAAGAAGCTAAGATCCTCCCTTGAATGTGTCTAAAGTATATCAGAGAGTTGTTTGCTTTGTTTAGAATTTTTTTTGGGGGGATAGGTAGGTTTCAACAACTTTCTCAGCGTACTTCCTGCTATCATCTTCTGTATGTATTACTTTATACATAGTCAGACTTGTAACTAATTCTTCACAGTCACTGATCTTTAAGGCACATGTTACRCCCAATACTGTTAACCTCCTGTATGAATAAGGCATGTCCAGAAGGCAGCAATATTATGCCCCTGAACTGTCTGTTCACATAGACAGAAATATCATAGAAGTAAAACTAAAATTCCCATAACTTAGGAAAACTTGGTAAAGGGTTCCATGAGACAACTCAGAAGTTACTTGACAAAACAGAGGACAAAATTAGATGAAATAAATGAAGATAATATGATTTCCTGAGCATTTTGAAACCATAACGAAAATTGACGATTGACAGCTAGTCAACTTCTCCCAAATTTTATTTTGTGGCTTTTTTGAGGGAATGAGGATTAAAAAAGGCAAATGCTCTGAAAACTGAAAGTATTTGTTACATTTATTGAGAATGATTCAATATAATGTTATTGGTGATGAGGGCTACAAAACAAATATCAGGTTCTTAGCAAGCCAACTAACAAAAACAAAAAGAAAACTTGAATAAATTGCAGGGCAGTGTGTTACTAAATAYGTATTGCTACACTTAAGCCTGAAGCTAACTGTTTAGAAAAATAATGTTTAAAAAGCACAATGAAAAATGAACAATACTTACAACCATACCGTTTAGGGACACCCAGCAATCTGGTGGGAAATCCTGGAGTAATGGTACTAAAAACTGAAGACAACCATCCCAGTGGCAAAGCAGCAACATCATTCCAATGAGATTAAAAATTCTCACTACAGCACTGGCCAGGTCATAWGTCATGTGGAATATCTGTAGACAAAAATGATAGATGATTTATATGATGAAACATTTAGAGAACAGAAACACAAACCATTTACTTCTCATCTAGGTAGTTTAAAGAAAATAAGTACTGTGCTGAAATTTTAAAACAGCATAGAGCACTCAGTAAGGTTCACAAATTTGGACACACTAAGTTATCCACAAGGCCACGCTGATAAAACCAACTATTTGGTGCMTGTAATCATCATAGAGGTACCTGAAAAAATGCTTATTTTGCATCAGAATTCACCAAATAAAGTACTTTCTTAGAGCCTACTAYTTCTTTCAAAGGAAGCAACTTTCACAACTTGCTGTACCCACAAGTGCAGACACAGTTCTGATAACAGAACATAACGGAAAAGTTCTCTGTGAAAATAGGATTTCCACTAGAATATTTCCCTGAAAAGTCACTAACATCTTCATTCCGGCAGTTACTTAGAAACAGAATTTTGCTGAAAATATGCATGTATGTGTTTCTCTGCTAAGCATGTGAAAATCTGTTTCTGTAAAATGTCTCAAAGTCCACAAAACAGGGCCTTCATAGACACAGAATTCCCTATCTTATTTCTGTAACTATAGTTTTAGGTTTATATATAGGTTTATATTGTGCATGTATACTGTGATCACAGCTGCACAAAAGTGATTATTCTGTGGATTTTTCACTGGAATGGAGCCCATTTGTGGCACAGATTCAAATTAAATAGAAAGTCTGAATCGCAAAACTCACATCTTCCTATAGGATTTCCTGTTCCTACAGTCTTTCAAGCTGGCATATTTTTATAACAAATCTTAAAAGCTCCACACTATTTAATTTGGTAACATACACTAAAAAAAAAAAAAAAAAAAAGTTGCTGGTTGAATTTTCTAATATATTTATTTAAGCATTTCAGAGATCTAGCCTGCTCTTAAGTATATGTCACATCCTGCCTACCCTATGAAACTGTGATGAGTCATTGAGGCTTCCCAAATGAGCTGGTAGATCTAGCATACAGAAAGAGCTATTACACAGACTAAAATTCAACCCAAATAGCTGGAGCACTGTGCTCAGATTAAAGGGCCTTGGTGAATCAAAGAAGTCTGCTGCTGATATGGGGCTTAATATGACTGAATAACTGTGGTTTTTTAATTCCAAGTAAGTAGCATCTACATTTTCATCAGTAAGAATTACTAAAAATGCATAAATATTCCAGGTTATTATCCGTCTTTCTTAACATGGTAATATTATACTAGGACTTCAGCAATAGCACCCATTAATTTTGACTCTAATACTTTATTGCTCATTTTTTTGCTTGTATACTCAAATATATGTATACTTTATCATAATTACTGATAAATAAGTAYTAAAGAAAATTACTTCACAGGGAAAATCTTAAGTAAATATAGAAAAATCCTTTTTAAACAGCTCTGCATATTCAAATATTTTTCCAGTAAATAAWWWTTTTWTTTTTTTTTCCCAAATGGAACTTACCATGGAAATCTGTGCTTGGATTAAAAAAAAAACATTTAAATGACCAAAATATAAGTGAACAACAATATTTGCTCACAGTATTGTATTGACATGCTTAGGTTTGGAGGTGGAGAGGCTTTTTTAAACTAATATCCAAACTTCCCCAAGGACTGAAGTCATATGTAGTATGTCCAGTATGTTGTTTTTCCCTTTCTTAAACATCTATGATAACATTCAAACAAAACGCAGAAGAAGTCATATTTTTATAGCATCTTTGTTTTGAAATTATAAATTATACTGCCTATATTAATGAATTAATCCTTATTATAACTCRTAGAAGTTGCGTTAAATATTGTTTGTTTAGAGAATTTAAACACAGAAAGTCAAGAGGCTGACCCACTCATTTCAACAAGCAGGGATTACTAGTAGGCAACCAGCAGGTCAGGAAGAAATTTGAGCAGATCACAAATCAATGCAGATGTCCTGATTTCACAGTACAGGTGTTCTGTACATTTAAGACAAATCTCCTTGTTTGAAGAGACACATTAACAAGATAATACTAGTTAAAAAAAAAAAAATTAAACTGTTGTATGTGCTTAAAGTTAGGTTCTTAAATTTGTTACTCAGGTGCCTAAACATGGGTAGGTAGCCTGTTTTTTATTAAATGCCCGCCATCCACAAACTCTACGTAAGTCAGGAGAACTTGCAGATATATACGGCAGACCTGAAATTGTGGCCACTTTATTTATATTTCTTATTCCATGTCTAAATATTCCATTTATCCACCAAGATATCCAATTGGAGATACTAGAGTTGCATGACATCACTGCAACTGAGAAAAAATAAAGTTCCCTGGAGAATCAACTCTTTCCACATTTATTATTTCAAATAATATAAAATATTTAATAGCCATCTCTCTATTTTATTTACTTCTCAATTTCATGTCAATTAGACTTGATAGTTTTCATTAGTATCATGCATTTGTTCTTCACTAGGAAAATGTTCCTATTCACGGTTTGCATGCACTTCAAAATACTATTCAATAATAAATTCTGATTTACGTATTTATTTCCAAAGTCACACAATGTCTTCCACTCTTACTTGTATACTCTTTTCTCAATACCTTGGAAACTTTAAATACTGACTTAAAARCCTTAAAATGCCTCTGATAATGTCTGAAAGCAAAGATTTACACTTTGGAATGTTTTGACAAAATATTGCTGAGAGAAAGGCAGAAATTGCTCAGAAGTCAGAGTTCATGTGTTTTACCTCAGTTTTCGCTCACATTTTATTAATGACTCTTTTTACTCCTCTACGTGAAGCAGGAAGCAGACTATTCCTTCCTCACATTTATATTGCAGTGTAGACCTTAAATTTGTTCTGCTGTTTGAGCCTGAGACAGAAAAACTATTCTAGTCTTGCCAGCCCACTTGCTTAATAACACTTGCGGGCTGTCATAGTAAATTAATAGTGCGTATATAGTTTAACTAAAATGAATACAAAATCTGTTGAACTGCTGTCACGGAATACACTAGATTGCCTCTTTTGCCTTCTGCTATTTAGATTTAATATTTGTTCATTTGTAATTTTTAGTTGAGCTTAATTTTTACGCTCATTTAATATAAAATGCTTTTAAATTATTTTAATTCTTCAAGAAAGAAAATTAAAAGAAGATCTCACCGTTTATTCAGATACTTCTCCTTTGCATCCTCTAAGAGGTCCTAAGGATGCTCAGAATCATAAAGCCAGTCCAGGCTTAATCCTCAATTTATGATTTGCATCATGCCTCGGGCAATATGAAATGACACCCAAGCTAAAGTAAACTATATGGAGTCTGAGATATTAACTACCCACTGTGGAGACATAGAAATAGTTGTGTTTTTACCATGGTTCTTGAGATCATGCTAAAAGTAATATGAAGTAAAGCAAGAGAATTTCATGCTAGCTTGTAGGCAAAATATAACAGTAATTAATAAAAACTGCAATGCATTTTTGCTTTATTTTCTGTGTCAGTTTAGAATTATTGCACCTTATCGCACCAGCTAGAAAGGATTTATAAATTGTAGGATCCAAAGTTTGCTATCTGAGCTAAATTTGCACTGCTAAGATGGTGGCAGTAATAAACGCTCCAAGAAATAAAAAAAATACCGAAGGTGGAGGAGAATGGAAAGCCTCTTTTTTGAGCATCCTTTTCTCAATCTGCCTAACCAATGAAAGACATGCGTGACTCTGTTTAGCCATTTCATATTCTACAAATTGATTGTAGAAGATACTTCTATAAATATAATTTGGGACACTACAGGTATGACCTAATTTCTACTAAGGCATATTTCTTTAGAAGTTGTGGATTATTACACTCTACCCTGAAAAGATAGCTGCAAAAGTTGATGTAAGTGTCTATCGACTGAAAGGCTTGGCTAGGCCTACAAGTAATATTTTACACTCTACTGACTCATGATGTATATGGCTAATTTTATTATAAATAATTCATAGTTGATAATTCAGAAGTGGGGAAAGGTATATAGCACTACTTAATCTAGTTGTATTTATGACGTTAAGATGATGGCAAATGTAAGGATCTGTATTTGCTGTCATCGACCCTGGAGGAAAAATCTCAGTGATTTAACAAACAAAACAAAACAGTTTTAATCAAACATATCCAGAAAAAAAAAAAAAAAAAGAGAGCTGAAGTGGCCTATTTTATGTGACCTTTAAAAATTGTTATTTTCTAGATGCAGTCAATCTGACATTAGGTTTTATAATAGAAGTCCCATTTATTCCACTTCAAGACATGTACAAATGTAAGCCAGTTTCTGTGAAGCAGAAAGAACAGCTCAACAACATTTAAACGTAACTTTGCATCGTCCAGGTTAAACCTGAAAGCATTAATAAAACCACTTTGCTGAAGGAAGAAATAGGCAAGCCTTGGAAATGTCAGGTATAACAAGAAAGCAAAAATTATTTGCTATATATATTCTGCCATATATATTTTGTACTGTAAATTTGCCAGTTTCATTCTAATATACTACCTCTCATACAGAGAGCACAGCTTCACTGACTTTTTTTTTTTAATTTTCTTGTGATTAATGAATATGACCTATTTGGATATCAAAACAATGAGGAATGGTCACTTCAGGTCTACAGTGAGGAAAACAAGCYAAGACTGACCCAGCCTTGGGACCCTCCGATAAATAATACAGTGCTAATTTTCACTGTGCTTTTGCAGAGATAGAGGTCACATCATTATTTTTTTTTATGACAAGATGTACCTTATTAGACCAAGGGTTTATTTTTATTGCTGAAGTAAAGCAAAGTAAAAAAAAAACAAAAAATGTTCATATCTTTGAGAAGCAAGCAAACCTAACACTAACAGCTTGTCTCCATGACAATATCTAGCTCAAGTAATTATCCTTAASTTATGGTATCTAACTTAGAGTGACTGTATGGCAAAAAATACCTGAACTGTACAGGAGAAGAGAGACTGAGTTTTGCAGGATGTCTGCATGAATTATGCTGCAGTTCCATACAACATTATTTCAACTAT